GTCAAATCATTAAAATACCTGCATACGTCAGGGTCAAAGAATGAACCAAATTCTATGGATGCAATTCTTTCACGAAGTATACGATGGTTTGTGTAGACTACTGCCTCCACCTGAAACTTCGATCATTGTAGCTCGTGATTTCTCGGTAGTTTGTGTGCTATAGATGACAAGAGATATCTTGATTATTGATGTTGCGTAAATGTCGGAGCATCTCCATGTTTATTGGCGACCCACCGTAGTCGTATTCGTAGCCATCAAAAGGGCTTTCGATTCGTTGGATCAGCGGGCTCATTGGGACTATCTACTCAGGAAGGGTGTGTCCGAGAAGTATGTAAATATCATAAGAGCGCTGTACGCACATAGTTTAGGCACGGTGAGGATTTATGGCAAACTGTCGCCGCCCTTCAATATTTCCAGCAGTGTGAGACAAGCTTGCCCGCTGTCATCATTTCTCCTTAACTTCGCTATTGAAGATCTCATGGATATCGGCTTCACTGGATACGACTTAGTATGTGTAGAGCTGCTGCCAGGTGAAAGACGTTTCATTTTGAAGTACGCCAACGATATTGCCCTAATCATTGGCATCTCTAAAACCTGCCAAGCAACACTGGACAAATTCCTTCTTGCTCTCAGTCGTTTCTGGCCATGCTTTGCCTCCTCGAAATGCAAAATCCTCCGAGCATTCGTATCCCCTGTAAATACTATGATATTGTTGGGCGGAACCTGGGATACTAGTCGGTAAGCAATGACACGTAAGACGTGCCAAATACGACAGTACAGAAGTCGGAGGCAACTGAACCCAACGTATATTGTGCAGGCTACAAGAATAGGAAGCGAATCAGAGAGAGCGAGAAACGTGCAGCGTGGAACTCACCAAAACGGTTTGTGACCATGGATGTGCAGTCAGTTAAACAAATGGACGTTTCGAAGGTTAAAACAACCATAAAATCCAATGTTATAAGATACTGAAAGAGCATGTTTTCAGTTGCACTACAAGGGCCTCCCCCTAGAAGGCTGAAGGATGGAAGCCTTCGATGGAGCTGTTAGTGGGGGGAACGGAAGGTGAGGGTGGATGCAAATGTTTGCAGGGGCTTGAGAATAGCTTCCAAAGTGGGGTGTAGCAGATTTCGCTGGGTCCAGGCTTTTGTTAGTTTTATTTATGACGATCGTGTGGACCAGAGTGCATCATCGGTGGGCCGTCGGGGCGGGCTGGTCGGACTGCAAAAAAAACTGGCTAGTCCAGAAAAAAGGCCGACAGGACCTTCCCATTGCTGCAGACCCGACGGTGCGCTTGGGAGGTGTCACTCCCCCCACCGCACTTTAGTCCACGGTCCTCGTCCCACGAAGAAATGCAGACATCCTCGTCCCTCGGAGAAATCCGGCCATCCTCGTCCCACGAAGAAATGCAGGCGTCCTCGTCGGCAATGCCTAGGCGGCGTTTGTGGACCAATCCGTTCGTGGGTGTCTGCGGTCGAGGGCGACTGTCTGTTCCTTGGGTGAGGACGGCTGGCGAGTCACTCCAGGGTTGCGTTGAGCCGGTTGGCGAGTCACTCGAGGGTTGCCTGGGCAGTTCCGGCGGTTGAGTTTCTGGAAGGTAAAACTCAGAGGAGGTTGGCAAGGGTCGGGGAAGTGGCTTGACGCCGGAGAGGGAACATGGCATGTATGATAAAAGCAAATACGCTTTTTAGGTTTTTCAAAATGTTTTGGTTTTTTTTGTCGATTTTGCAAAACGTTTGTGGGTGAGACGCAGGATAACCATTAAAGACGAAAAAGGCGTGTTAATGGAAATAGCAAACGCTTACAAAATCGGAAAAACGGACCGGACGTTTGACCTGTCTACCGCGTCGGTCGGTTGCCTGGGGTTGCGGCGGGATAGGTTGCGGGTCAAGGGGTACGGAGGGTGCCGGGTTATCCAGTGCTCGGGAAGTCACCACAGGTGCGGGTGCTTGTGGGAGAGCATCAGGATGGGCTGCAAGTGGCTCGTCAAAGAAAGCCACTTTGAGGCGGTCGATGGACACCGTTGTTCGGTGACCATTCTGGTCTATAGTAAAATGTTTCGGAGTCCGTTGCAGAACTCTGAAAGGGCCAGTGTAGGGAGGCTGGAGAGGGCGCCGCACTGCGTCGGTGCGGAGGAAGACGTGAGTGCAGGTAGAGAGTCCGCTGTGCATTTGCACATCTCTAGTTTGCTCACGGGGCGGGGTCGGGCGTAGTGAACGCATGCGTTGAGCCAGCGAGGACGCAAAGTTAAGCGGAGGCATACCCGACGATGCGGGAGGTGAAACGAATTCTCCTGGTAACTTTAGCGTCGTGCCGTAAACCAGCTCTGCTGGTGCACATTGCAAATCAGCTTTGATGCTGCTGCGAATGCCTAAGAGTACGAGCGAAATGTTTTCGCTCCAGCTAGGGTCAGAGGAGGCGCAGAGCGAGGCTTTAAGCTGTCTATGGAAACGTTCAACTAACCCGTTGGCTGCTGGGTGATACGCTGTGGTATGGATGCGGCGACAGCCTAAGAAGTTGCAAAACGTATCGAATTGTGAAGATTCGAAAGGCGTTCCGCGGTCAGTTGTGATGGTGAATGGGCATCCGTAGTGCGAAACCCATCGATCCAAGAAGGCCCGGATAACAGTCTCAGCGGTGCAGTCTGTTACGGGGATAGCTTCTGGCCATCTGGTGAAGCGGTCGACACATGTTAGAATGTATACGAATCCGCGCGACGGAGGCAATGGACCTACCAGGTCTAAGTGTACATGCGAGAACCGAGAGTCTGGGGCAGGAAATGTACCAAGAGGACTGCGGGTGTGACGATGTACTTTAGAGCGCTGGCATTGAAGGCAGGCGCGAGCCCAGGTACGAACATCTTTGTTTACGCGTGGCCAAACGAAACGTTCGGTGACCAGTTTCAAAGATGCACGGATACCGGGATGTGACAGTGAGTGCAGTGCGTCAAAGACTGTGCGTCTGAAGGAGACGGGCACGAGAGGTCTAGGACAACCTGTGGACGTGTCACAGAGGATGGTTCCTTCCGTGGTTTGGAGAGGAACAGGTTGCACATGCAGCGAAGTGGACTGCAGTGTGCGCTGTATATCTTCGTCTTGAGCCTGAACCGATGCCATTGCGGCAAGGTCGACGGTAGGCAAAGACTGGAGGGTGAGATTGACGCGTGAGAGAGCGTCGGCGACAGGATTGTCGACACCTGAGACATGACGTATGTCAGCAGTGAACTGCGTGACAAAGTCTAGGTGTCTTGTTTCCCGTGGTGAGTATTTGTCGCTAGCAGAGTTAAAGGCAAAGATAAGAGGCTTGTGGTCAGTGTAGACCGTGAAAGCGCGGCCTTCGAGTGTGTGCCGGAAGTGACGTATTGCTAGGTAAATGGCCAGCAGTTCTCTGCCAAACGTGCTGTAGCGGGATTCCGCTGGCTGCAGGCGCTTGGAGAAGAACCCAAGGGGTTGCCAGCGCCCACCAACGTGTTGTTGGAGGACGGCTCCTACTGCTACGTCTGAGGCATCAGTCGTAATAGAAAGAGGTGCAGTCGATTCGGAATGAGCGAGGAGGGCTATGTTGGAGATAGCATCCTTGAGCTCGGCGAAGGCTGCCTGTGCTGTGTCAGGGAAAGCGAACTTACGTTCATTTCCTCTGAGTAGGTCAGTCAGTGGCTGCATGAGCTGAGCGCAGCGCGGAATGAAGCGTCGATAGTAGTTGACCAAACCACAAAATCGACGGAGGTGCTTGAAGGAAGTCGGAGCTGGGAAATCCTTGATTGCCTGGATCTTATCAGGAAGGACTTCGATACCAGACGATGAAACGACGTGGCCTAGGAATTCTACCGTTGATTTGCCGAGTTCGCACTTAGTCGGGTTGACTGTGACACCGTGTTGGGTCGAGATCCTTGAGACCTTTCCCCTTGCCTACAGGATAATTCCAAATCCGCAGGTGCCTCAAGGTAAATCCCCGACTGAAGCACTGATGCAACGGAAATTGCGATCCAGCGTTGGTTTTCTTAAACCACCTATCAGGAACAGTCTGAACAGAAACTGCAATATAGTGGAGTAATTCAACAGGAGACAGTGCTCAGAACTTAGTTTTCTTCAAGGCGCAACCTGTGTTAGCAAAGGACTACCGCGGCAACCATGTTACCTGGACTCCAGGGCGTATCATTCATCGAACTGGAAGTGTCACGTATTGCGTTGCCGTTAATTCTGTGCTTTAGGTCCGACATGCCACTCAGTTACAATCCCGTTCTTTTTTGGATGCATCAATACGTCGCATATTACCGTTAGATTTTCTTCTCGATGCGTTCCGTATCAGCCCAGAAAATCCCAAACCCGAACAGGAGACTCTACTTCCTGCATCTCGACTGGAGTTAGCACCAAGAAGATGGATGCATCGACGCCGGAAGTCTGTGATTCCGATGCAGGTGAACCCCAAGCTATAATCTTATGCAATTCATTCGACAAAGGATGATGTCAGATGTCGCGGACCCTAACGATGTCGGTCGAATGCAGCTTCCAGCTATTTGGCTCGAAGATGATTCGCTTATCTCATGGTGACGGTTTCCCACATTACGATTTCAAGGTCCTTGTGTAGGAGGACTTTACAAACCAATGAAATCGTCTCCTATGTACCTCGTTTATCTTCTAACAAGTGGATGTTCCTGGTTGACGTCTTTCGACTTCTGTTCTGGGTCGAAGGTTTGGGCTTTGAGGTCGGCACGTTCACGATGCATAGAAGGTCACAACACCACTTTTCTTTGCTCTGGAAAAACTTCCTGGTGATTGTTTCCCTGTGGGACACTTAAGCTATCGACCGTCTCTTTTTCTTTTCGTGCGCTGCACTTTTGAACTTTCCAATTCATTTTTCTTGCGGTTGGTCGGCTGTCAGTCGTAGGTATTTGTTTCTATATAACATCCTGATTTACCTTTGGACTTTTGGAGCTGTTGCGATGCAAGCCATCCGAGTGACTATCTGTGATGATCATGACTGTCGTAACTCTTTCTATTTCAGCTTATCGACATGACATTAGAATCTGATTTTCTTTCGAACTGCACTCCGAGCGCCTTCTCTGTGAGTTTCCCTCCTACATATGGCCATACAATTTCGTGATTTTATTTTCATTTTGACACGTTCCACCTATTCAATTGTTCATTTGTTCGCTGCACTTGGTAATTTCTTTCTATTCACTTCACCACAATGCGGTCGGCCCTTAGCCTAGAGATAACGAGCTTGTCGTGTAATCTTGCGGCGCGGGTTCGAATGCGCGTAGGGGTGGGCGTCCTCTCGGTATACTCAGTCCGCCTGCTACTGGTAGTGGTCACACAACAGCGAAGCGCCGTTACGGCGTACAGCTGACACCATGCGAGGTGGCGTCGTCAGTACTTTGATATGCAGTGTGTAATCTTGTTGCTTGAGTCGTCGGTCAATTTTCGATTTGCAGGTCTCCTCTTCTAACGACCATTGATGTATGTGTGTATGTATGTGTATGTATGTGTTAACGACCAATCAGAGAAGTCGAACAGCGAGTTGTCATCCAGAGATCAAACCATAACTTCAGGGTATTGACAATTACAGTCCAGTGGATTTGGTAAAGACTAGGGAGCAAATAAGATATGCCATTTTTCCCGCGATATCGCGCTACAAGCAATGCAAAATCTTAACCTGAGGAGAAAAGGAAGCAATCAAATCCCTGAAGTTTGACGAAACGATCATTATCTTACCAGCTAGCAAGAAACGGATGACCGACTGAGAAAGCTGTACATCTTTGAATGACACAGCAATCAACAGGCGCATCGACAGTGATCCAACCTCGCAGCTGACGAACAAAATATGCAGAGCCTTAAGAAATTGAACAAAATCACGAAGGAGGCTCGCGACAGAATAGCAGCATGGGATTCGAAAATCACGCAATTCTACGGACTTTCAAAGGTACCCAATGATCGTGCACCGTTATGGCTGGTCGTATCACTTCCGGGATCACCCACATTCAACCTGGCAAAAGAATTGTGTAGGCGCCTCATGCATCTCACTAGTGGATCGCAATACTCCATAACTAATGTGCAGCATTTTTGGAAAACGCTCGTAGATTTGCTGGTAGACAATGATGAAACAATGATTTCATTCTATGTGACTACGTTCTTTATGTTTGTCAACTTTCAGCTGGCAAAAGCGGTCATCACAGAACCCCCGAACATTGTACAACCATTCGGGAATATGATGTCCGTAAGTATATGCAAACTATTCAACTTGTGTCTGTCAATCTACTTCTCATTCAAAAAGAGGTTCTGCCGGCCCTTGGCACTAAGCACCACAAGCCTGCCTTGTAATCTGAGATCGCTGGTTCTAGCCTGCGTAAGAGACCGGGCAACTCTCACAGTATCCTAGCCCACGAGCTACTGATGGTGGTTGCGCGACGGTGAAACGTCGTGCTCCGTACTGGCGTACGGCTGATGCCTCTCTCTGCCTGCAACTGAAAAGCGCACTAATAGTATCATCTGTGTCAGGGCTCGTGGCGGAGATGCTTTTGCAGAAATCTCAGGAGGATGTACTTTCAATCATTAATCCAAAATTGTGCGTCCATTATGTCAACAAACGCAGCAGACGCAGCCTAGTAACGGTCGCACAACAACTATTGAACAACGCCAAGGAAGACATCCAATTTACAGTAGAACCGGGGAAAAAATTGACTGTCTTCTCTGGACGCATTAGTAACCAGAAACATTGAAAGAGATCTGCAAACATCAGTTTGTTGGAAAGGTACACACATGGATCAAATTCTAAATTTAATAGCAAATACCCAAAATACCGCAAAGTAAACTATGTGCAGGCACTATTTCGCAAAGTGCAAACACACCGCAGTTCCGTGGAATCTAAGCGAAAAGTAAAGAATCGCTTATTTACGTGTTTCCAACTCAATGGATACTCACGAAGCTTCATCCGAAAGTGTCTGAACCACAACAACGCAGTCTGCACCCATGCCAGACTGTTGTTTTGCTTTATATGAAGATCACCCGAAATGGTGACTATACTAATTAAACAGCATCATTTTATCGTAGTACACAAACCAACTGCCACCTCTTTAGGGAAACATTTCCTCTATCGAAGAAAATACTGAAAGCATATGGATGACCTAATGTTGTATACAAACTGCGTTTCAGAACTTGCGGGCAGAACTGTGCCAAACAGAAGATTGGTGACAAGCATACAAGAGCACAAAAGAGCCCACTAAAAGCATTATGCGTAATCTTTAGTTTCAGCACACATAGATTATAATGGACGCAACTTTGACTTTGATAAAACGGTAGTCTTGGCACGGGGCGAAACAATGCAAGGTAGTTTTTGGAGGCTTGGTCCTTTACAAAGAACTCGATCAGCATGCATATCGACATCGACTCAGGATACCAAACATTCCGACAGCATAAATTGAAAGCTTTTCTGAGAGCTGCTTAAACCAGCACACTTCGATTGACTTCACTGTCGGGGAGAATGGGCAAGATCACAGTGCGCAAGTCGGTGCCATTTTCGAAAGTCACCCTCACTTTGACCACGGATCAGCGATTCATTCAGCAAGATTACGCACGGTATATCATCACACTGACGATGCCGCCTCGCATGGTGGCGAAACGTATGCAACCAAATTACCAAGCTCGGTGAACAAATGAGCAAATAAATCGTGAACCTGAGCTACCAGTATTGCGACGCATTTTAGACGCTCCACTTATCATTGGCATTCCACATTTTTGTATTGTCGTCCGACGCTTCATCATATGGTTTCCCGTTTTCCGTACTTCATATTTGTATTAACTGGCTACAGGTGCTTGTGGCAATGGAATTACAGTCAGTATATGCGCTTCACTGGATTCGAACAAAGAGCCGTATGTAGATAGCTCCATCACACGCTTGGGGCTATACATGTTAAGATCTGAAGGTTGCACTTCTATATCGGGCCGTTGTATACCCTCATGAGGGCTGGGAGACATTTGAAGGTACCTTTTGTTGGCGGCTTAACTCTCATCTCAGTCATTCACATTAAAATCGTGACTGTTGAAGGTAGTGTTAACACTCTTTTGTACCACTAATCATTAGGCGGTCAATTATATAGTTGTTTTGAAATTGCCCCTCTTTGACCTGGTGACGACCAGCTTTTCGAGTTGTGCACTAAATGCAACTAGTCCTAGCCGCACCGCTTTTTGACACCGACTTTCACGTTGCGTTAATTGTCATCCATTACAAATAGGATGAATACCGTCAGTCGTCATCATCAACTGCAGTACATCAGCCATTTGAACTGATGCTTTGTTGCCGTACACCCATAACGATCTACGGAACGAATAAGAAGAAGAAGGACATAAAAGGGACCTACCTGAAGACCTTAATGCCCTAAGCAAACATTCAGGGTCAAGGTGCCTACACCCTGTCAACATACCATCACAAACAGCTGGCTATCTTGCAAAAATAAGGCGGTCTCAGCGATACAGCTTCTTTGAGGTTTTCACTGCTCTGCGTCGTAATCAACCATTACTCCGCAAATAATTTAGCATCAAACACGCTTTAAACAAGCAGTCCTACTAGGAGAGGGTAACAGTCGCGCCATTATTGTCGACTGCGACTTAGGTTTTGTGAATTTCCGAGCCAAGCACAAGACGAGTTACGTAGACTCCAACCTGGAAGGCGAGACGGACTGACGGCACCGAGTTTGGTCGTCAGTGATTTCACTTCCCGCTGCCGTCATCTTTTTTCTACCGCGAGCCCCGCGCTACCGTCCAGCTGACCTACAAAACAAGACCCTCCTCTGTAACCGGTGACTGGGCATACGTAGTATGTACCCAAACCAGCGCAACTTATTCAGCGCTATTTGTTGCTCTAAAGAACTAGCTTGGTTATCGCTGCCTAGTACTCGCTTGCGCACATCATCGTTGCGGACGCGCTGGTACCACTCGACACCAGCAATGCTTCGCAGACAACGATGATCAAAGACTTGAAGACGCTTCTGACCGAAGGGACCAAGTCACACCCCCATGGAGTACGACAACCCTCACTGTGGCCTTGTAAACACGGCCTTTCAGACGGAGATGTCGCAGATCCAGCAAAGCAGCTCTGGCTTTTGCAATGCGTGAACTACCTTCAGTGGTTATGCGTCCTTCTTTGCTGATGCAGCTGCCAAGGTAAATGAATTGATCATCTACCTGGACTTCTTGGCTCTCAAGAATCAAGGGATCATCAACTGGCTGTTGGTCCTGCAGCACCACTTTGCACTTTGAAGGTGCGAAGTTCGTACCAGATAATGGGGCAACTCAAGTGGGCTACTTAGGGTTGATTGTTTTGCCCCAATATCGTTAAACAGCAAGACGATATCGTTTGCATAATCAAGATCAACTAGCCGTTCTTCAGGCAGCGCCTCAACGCCTACATTGGGAGGCTTCGCTAGGGAACACTCCATGATGGAGTCCACGACGAAGTTGAACAAAAATGGGCAAATTTGGGAACCCTTATGAACACCACTTGTCGGGAAGATATCTGACAGGTCAACATTGACCCTGCTGCGACCTGTTGTGTTTGAGTATTGAGCACGTAAAATGTTCACCCATTTCTTGGGGACACCTTTCCGCACAAGTATTTCGAACAGAATGGATCGATCGACTATATCGAACGAACTCTTGAGATCCAGGAAAACAGCTGTTGTTGATCTGCGGTATGTGTAGCGCTGCTCTGGCACCTACAGCAGAGTGCAAGTCATGTCTTTGGCGAAAGCCTGCCTCTTCTTAAATTCGTGATCTTTGCTCCGCATTGAGGCGACGAACCGGAATTGAGGCCAGTACTTTTGTCACCACCGGCGTTAGGCTAATACACCTGTGGTTAGTACAGTCAGTGCAACTGCCCTTTTTGTATATAGCCACTATAATCGATCCACTCCAGTTAGCCGAGACGGTCCATTCCTTCCAGATACGTTCGAACAAGCAGGTCAGTGCTTTACAGAGGACCTCACCTCCATCCTCAAATAGTGCAGATGGCATGAATCTTTGCTAGCAGCCCGAAAACGCTTGAGGGATGTGATCGCGTTTCGGACCTCGGCCTCCGACGGAGCCTCTTAACTAACTGTCCCTGACTCTTCCTGCATCACCTGACTGGAAAGAGGTCCGGAAGCAGGGGGCCAACTGAACTGGTCTTGAAAGTGCTCTGTCAAACGGACCGTACGGCGCTGCTTATTATAACTTCGTGTACCCACGCTGTCTCTGATTCAATGACGCCTGGTTTCCTGGGACCAGTGGTGCTGATCAACTGGAAGAGCCTGCGGTAATTGCCTGCTGCTCCTGCCTCCTCCATTTCTCGAGCCCTACTGGTCCACTATGCTTCCTTGTCAGCGCGCAGGCTCCGCTTTAGTTCGCACCTAATAACCCGTCTGGTCACATTGTGCTCAGAACCAGTCGGGAGGTTTCTTCTCGATTCCAACAGGTTCACCGACCTCTCCGATATCCAGTGACTGGTGCAGTGACGATTGATAGTACCACCAGCCGATGCTCCTGCGTCGTGCATGGCGGTCGAGATCCTATTTCACTGAAGCTCAGTGTCATTAGGACAAGAGAGCGAAAGTTCGGTACGCAGTGCATTCTGGTGGGCTTTGCTGACCGGAGGCTGAGATAACTTCTCATTTGCCAATCAAGGGAGGCGTTTCTTGCACCGGTAAAGTTCATGGAAAAACGATAGCTTATAAAGGCATAATTTGATTCGACGCAAGTTCTTCATGGCGAACGACAATCCAGGATAAATAAATAAATGGTTTATTCTCGACACTGCGAGACACGCCTGCCTAGGCATGATCGTGGTGATACCAACTTTGAGAACCGGTAATTGTAACTTACGGTAAGTGTTTATCAGTGGCATATAGATCAATGTGATAGGTGTATATGGTGCTTTGTAGGTATGAATGGGTATGGCTGTGTTGCTTGGGTTTGTAACTGTGACGCCGGACTTCCGATAGTTCTTGCTCGGATCGTCAGGTGAAAAGGGGTGAATGGAAATCTTCGTATTGGATGACTGATGTCTGTGGGGTAAGATCATCTAGTTACCTAAGAGGCAGTGACTTTAGTTAGCTGCGAGTCACATTCGCCACGTCGCAGTTTTGTAGAACAGACATTTGTGGCTTTTTATAGGGAGAATGCTTGCCAGGTGAAACCTGGGACATTGCCGCCGAACCATTCACTGGAACGGGATTAACCCGAACCACCCAGCTCGCATCACGAGGAAATTGTTCGGCGAGCCAGCCACATGTAAATTATGGCAAGTTGGTGTATTTTTGTCCATCGCTGTCCAGCTGCAGGTGGACGCCAGGTGCCATTTCGGCTCCCGTTGTGTCTAAAAGCGGTGTTACTAAGAAACAGCCGCTGCTTCGCACACAGTTGCAACAGACGCTCGCGGTTATCCGTCCGTTCATATTTAAGCCCATAATTACCACCTAGTTGAGCTTCTGAAGAGCCAAGGCAGCCTACTTGCGCATTCATACCCCCTGCAACAATAACGATATCTAAACTGGTAGCACGGTTCGTTAGCGGGTTCAGTTCGTGGTAGAATGTGTCCTTGGCAGAATCAGAACTGCAATCGGTGGGAGCATAAGCGGAAACCACTAACAGACAGCTTCTAGTATTACTTCGTGAGTCAACCTTAGTGCATGTCGTCAAATGGGCTGCACACAAGCGGCTTCTCAGTGGATTCCAATGAACCAACGATGACTCAGCCTTGGAGCTGAGAACTATGCCTACCCCAGCTTGACCCGTGAGTGCCGCATCAGCGTCTCCGGATGCGTGGAATCAATAGAGCGATGACAAGCTGGGCGCGGTTAATTCAACAGCCCCGGCCAGTCATGACGTCTTCAGTGCACTTTATTTCATTACTGCCGTTCAGTCTGTCCTGTCCCTTTATGTCCCTCCATCTCCCACTGTCGGGGGATCGCTCTAGAACGAAATGGTTTATTACTAGTTTACCTCGCCGGCTGTAATGCAGATTTGTCAGTATGAGTCAGCACTTCGAGATCCACTAATGAACCAGGCGAAACGATGCGGACAGTGACCAGATGCGTTTCTTCTACTACAACATGAGGGAGACAGCACTCCCTTGGCATGATTTGCGACTAATTTAGATGCTCTTTTGAAGATGATCGGCTTTTTATTTTATGGCACAGTAGGTGAGGTGCTTCCCACCTCTAGCTAACGTGTTTATTGATGATGATGATGGCTTTTTCTTTGGTGCGAAGAACTGCTCCGTAGCTTTTCAATACGTCACATTACTTAATTGCGCCGTTAATGTCTGAGTTTCGGAACTGGCCGGTTGTTTTGATGGACGACTGGCGTTTTTGAAATGCTGGCGAACTCAGTCAGCTTGGCCCCAGCTGTCAATTATTGCTCACGCATTCAAATGCAATGAATCCCGTTGCCATATCGAACTCCGCCTTATGGATGATCATTAAGCAAACGATTGTTAATGCGATAATTTTCGAAAGTTTGATTTAGGAGATCACATCCACTTTCGCGACACTACACAAACTGTTTATGCATGTGATTCACAATAACGTCAACATTATTTGAGCACGATCGAAATAAAAGTTAGAAACGATTCTTACTTTAAAAGTCCATAAACTCAAGTCTTTCTCTATGTGCCGCCCAAAATCCACCGTCGCGAACAACGCTTACGAGATCTTAATTTAAGCAGGCGACTTACACGGAAATCATGAGTTTCTTCATCATTTTTCTCCTTCTATTCTCGGAAATCATCAATTGTTTATTCAACAGTTACATTTGAATGAATACATCCTCATCTTTCGTTGCCATATGTACTTTTTTCCTTTATCGCCTTAGTTAGGCAAGTCATGACATCCGATCTGACACACTCTCTTGCTCATTTCTGGCATGAAATGCAATTCACCAGTTGGTGTTCTCATCCCGCGCCAGGCTGTTGAACTTGAATCACCTACTCCCATACTCGTCGCGCATACACATTAACTGGCTGTAATGTGCAGATCTTGTTTATTATACCTATACCTAGTTGAACGGGGCAGTGAGATGGTCATTCAGTGAACTGAGAGGAAGTGCTATAGTGAAACCTAATTTAAGACTTTTTCATACTGTTGTAAATATTTTTATTGATTTGTTTCCTGAGATGGGTCACTTTAGATGCTTAACATGACATCAAAGTTGTCGAAACGTTTAGTTTCCATATTTTTTAAAATGTTACCCCTCTCATGCATACCCGATTTCTCCTGCTTATGTTCTTCTGTTCAGATTTGTCCTTCGCGTATTCTTCTCCGTTTCCCTTTTTCATCGCTTACTCGCCTCATCCTCAATACGATTTGGGCCATGACAACTACACTCAATGCATTACGCAGATCACCATCAGACGACCAACACATGTGCTTACAAACTGATTCGATGCAAATATTGTGCGTATAGATGATTTACTGCACTTTACCTACTTGCTACTCTGGGTCCATCTGACTTACTCACTTTTGCACTGTTCGTTGAAGCATTAAACATAAGACTTTGGCTCTTCTTACCGTCTATATGACTGCACCCGCCAGTTAAATGTATCCAGCTCCTACTCGCACTTGCGATCACTATGGCGTTTAGGATTACTCAGCGCCGTTTTGTTTTTGGCTTACTCTGGACTTTGTACTGGTATCGATTTGTATGTGTGCTATTCTGCAGTCTTTGCCATAGTGAGCTTTTAACTAATCGACCAATCAAATACCGTAGACTAGATGTACTGTGGCAATCACCACCGATCTGGTCGGTGTAGAGTGCTGCACACAATGCCGTGTTTTACATCCCCGCGAAATGCTTTCACAATACATTCCCACCCATACTGATCGGCCATATTACTTGCAATAACTTGCACTATTGGGAACTGTTTGGGGGTTAAGATGACTGACATCTCCCGTACACCTTAACAGTGGTCCTGCTGGTAACCACGGGGCCTCTGGCAAATCCTGGTGTCGTACGATGCGTCTAACGACACGGTTAAGGTCGGAATGATCGTTTCTTGACCCAAATACTACGGGTCATTATTTGTATCTGTTGATAGCACCAGTTAGTTTACACCGGTGTCTGCCAGGCGAGTTGTACAAATAGGCATGCCACTACTGAGCTATCTGTAAGACCGCATGAAATTGCGAGTTCATAGCACCTCTACCGATCGATCACCTTTATGTGTCTCGTCTTCAGACTCATTGTCATCTTGCGTGAGGCCCAAGGCTTACCAGGCTCTTTTTTGACAGATGGGCATGTTGCGGTGGATTAAGGCCTCATAGTGCTGCCTCATAGTTAGATCGCGATCCTTTTTAGCAATGATTAATCGCTTCACACTCTTAACAGTTGGTTCTTTTCATCTGTCCAATCCAGCGTTCTCTTTTTTCCTTGTACGTTTGTTTTAAACTAGTTAGCATACTTAAGGAATTCTATTAGTTCGTCACCACTATATTCAGCAATGCGGCCGGTCACAACAGAGAGTAATTGTTTCGTCGGATTGGAACTCAACATGCACGCCCGTCACCCCCGAATTTTGGAGTATCTGATCTGACGACAACATATCTCACAAGTCAACGACTTGTGCTCCTGGGACAGCGGCTGCGGTTGCGGTCCACTTGGCTAAGGTGGCAACCGGACTGTTACTCTCTCTCCGTATATTTTGGTCCCCGTGTCAACTCGTGTCTGAGCACTTGTATTCAATCATGGCTGGTTACCTGGAAAATAATTGATTTTGTCTGGAGTTATTGTTTCACCCCCGTTGGTTTTCCTATTGTAGCACGCTTTCATCTGCTGATATGCGCCCACAGTTATACTCGGTTATTTTCACTTCTATTCCTCCCATTTTTACATATACTTCAACATCGAATTACACTAGAGCCGGCAAGAAGATGCATTTGAAGATTATATAGCTGTTACCGAATGGGAAAAGTGAGCCGACTCATATGGTTGCTTTTCGACCTGTAGTACCGCTGTCAGACCACCAGTTTTGTTTTGTCATCTTTATAACACCGATCTGATGAAAAATCAGTTGGATAACACTATGCTTGTTCTGTTTTCTTTTAATCTGCAGAGTTTGCAAGTCTGGCATCGTAGCTTTGTTTTGGTGTCCATTTTCACTGTTTCACTGCTGCGTAGGTGCGATCGACGTCGCAGCATCCAAGTCCTCATGCAACCGTCGCGGTCTCTTTCTCAGTTATATACGAATACGAGGCTTCGGCTTACTGTGGCCACCACAAGTGAAATTCTTTTTTATAGCAAAAAAATTTCCATTGTGAATGCGATGTGTCACTTGCTCATCTATACTACCCAGTGGATTGTATTGGATGACTTTTTAATGGGATATTTTAACTCATTTTTATCAGATCACTAAACCTTTAAACGCTGTATGAATGCAATTCCAATTCACCTACATTTGGCGTTTCAGTGGTGTTGTTCCCTTCAAAACCGATGGCTTTGATCTTACTTCTATTAGACCCCTGGACATTTATCATTTTCTATCTCGCATCAATGTCGCATATCTGTGAATGGTTAGTTTGAAACCCGCCGATACTTTTTGGTACTTATTTGAGGTTGTATGCAAATTTGTGACACCGAAAGGTGACCGAGGAGTCTGCGCGCTTGGCTTGCAATCATAAGGTCACCGGTTCGAATCCGCATAGTGGCGAGCGTCCTCGCGGTATACTCATCCCGCGCACGACTGCTGGTGCTTTCGCGGCAGCGAAGCGTCGTTACAGCATACAGCTGACATATTATTCATTATTTCACCGGCACGCAGCCTAAAAGTAACAAGCTTGCTTTGTAATTTGACGTCGGGGGTTCCAGTCAGTGTAGAGATAGGGCAACCCTCGCGGTGTCCTTAGCCCGCGTGCAACTGGTGGTGGTTGCGCGGCAGCGAAGCCTCGGTACTGCGTACCGGCGTGCTGCTGATGCTGTGACACAGTTGATAGGCGCTTGCGACTCTTCGCGTGCCGGTTTGGATACCTTTTGCCTTTCTTTGGCTGGTGGCCAAGTGGTCTGCGCGCTTGGTTTGCAACCATGAGGTCCCCGATTCGAATCCTCGTAGGGATGGGCGTCCTCGCGGTTTACTCAGCCCACGTGCGGTTGGTGGTGGCCGCACGGCAGCGAAGCGCCTTTACTGTGTACAGCTGAGACATTATTATTATTATTATTATTATTATTATTATTATTATTATTATTACTTTAGCGGGTAGTGGGTAATGCCTCGTCATCGACAGCAGTACGCCAGCAGTGTGACCTGACGGTTCTTTGCGCCCAACTACAATGATCTCTAGTTGAAAGAATTACAAGTGGGCTAGAAGGGGGACCTAGTGTAAAACCTAAATGTTCTTCATAGGCATACAGAGTCATGATACCTGCACGTTGTCAGCAACATACCATCACGAACTGCTGGCTATCGTGCTAACATAAGGCGGCATCCGCAAAACGGCTTCCTTGCGGCTTTCGCTGCCCTGCCTGATAACTAACCTTGGCACCGCAGATAACTTGGCCTCAGACACACTTCACTGAGGCAGCCCACCTGGGAGACGACAGCAAATGTAGCACTGTTACCGAATACGTGCCATATAGGGTAACGTCTCAAGCATACACAAGACGCGGTGATCTGCCATACGTAACACTTGCCCAAGTCCACGCAGCCCATTCAACGTTATGTGTTGCACTAAGGAATTAGCCTAATTATCACTACCTACTGCTCACCTGCGCAGATCATCGTTGGGGACACACTGGAGCCATCCGGCATTAGCAGTACTTCGCAGGCAGTGATTATCAAACTTGAAGACACCTCAGATCCTCAGACATAAGGGTTTAAGCCCGACTCTTATGAAGTAGAACAGCTGTCACTGTAGCCTTGTACACACGGTCATTTAGACCAAGGTGAATACCGTATTGATGCCATAAATACCGCAAGTTCAAGAAGGCAATTCTAGCATTCGTTATACATGATCCAACTTTCCCAGTCACATCCTCATCGCGACTGATGCAGCTGCTTAGGCGAATTGATTAGCGGCCATAACCGCATTCCCTATTGGACTACACCCTATTTCCATTTGCATTAGGTTTTAACTCACTGCTCACTTTTCTCCCTTCTACTTCCGCTGTACACAAAATTTTAATCAATCAAAAATTAGACACACATCAATTTACCATTGGCATTCTCTTCTGCTTTTTCTATCTTGGCTGACGGTCTTGTGCGTCTGTTTCGCCACCTGCGATCATCGGATATGTCACTTGGAATTGCTATTCTGGTGGGATGCACCCACTTTCGTAAAACCACACTTCAATCTAGGAAAGAGCTATGCGTACGCAATTAACCGAGCACTTCTCTGATTGCTAATTCTTATCTCAAAATTCTGCTTCCCTTTACACTTCATTTTTCTAGTTTCTCTGTCGGCTGTTTCATTGGCTATCCTGTTTACTTTAGATTGGTTGACGGCCACAGAGCTCGCTCAGTTGCCTTCCTTCGGCCTCGTTCCTTTTGGCATGCTTTAATGTACGTACCCTCATGCAGATCGGCAAACAGACTACTCTTGCGCGCACCTTGAAATTCATCGCCTTCGATGTTTCCAGTCTTTCCAAAAGCCGATTGCAAGGTCCTAGTACTGTGGTTGAGTTGAGATCTCCCACTGACTACGGAGCCATTTTTCACCTACGTGTATCTAGTGATACAGACGCAGCTAATGCACGCTTAGCTGGTGTTGGTATAGCGCTAAACGACAAACCCGAGGCCACACTGGTGGACAGGTTCCCGATGAACAGCCAACTGTGCGCAGTTCGTCTTCGGAGATCATGTAGGATCAACAGATGTCGGTGAGGCAATACGCAAATTGTTCATGATCTCAGCGTACGCTCCAACTATCTGCAGTTGCGCCTCGGTCATTGACGATTTTTATGGTGAACTTCACCAGCTCTTGAGTAGAGCTTGCGATTCCGATATTGTTGTCCTTGCTGGAGATCTGAACGCACGGGTTGGTCGTCTTTTATCATGTGAAGTCATCTTGGTGGTCACTATGTTCTCGATGAGAGCGGCTCAGATAACCTAGAGAGACTTCTCACACTGTGTGGAGACAATCGTCTGTTTCTTTCGAGCGCCAGCTCCAGCTATACGAAGAGATGTTCCGCTACTTGGCGCCCACCATCTCCAACTTAGTCATCCTCTCAGACTGACCACATCGCGATTATTTACAAATGATGGGATAGTGTAAAGGATTGCAGATCCAACGGGATCACATTTGTTGTTGTTGTTGTTGTTGTTGTTTGCGCACACATCTGCATGGGTTTCGGAGGGTCCCTGAAAACGAAGCACTGTACTGTTGATACAAATAAACTATCTACTTCCCACGTTCAGCTGAGCTATCAAACTTCCCTGGCCGATGCACTCAGCTGCAACCCTCCGCGAGACATTGATAGACACTGGACCTTCATGTAGCAGACCACGATTGCTTCCGGGTAGTCAGTCTGTGATCCTACTCAGCACCCTATCGAGGCCTGAATCTATTTGACCGCCGCAGAAAGATCCCAGCGGAACCTAATCATAATGAAGTGCGCCTTTCTGTCAGTCGGCAGCTTAAAAAGTCTACGCAGTGATCATGAAGCTTGGTGGTTTCAGCGTGCTTCGGAAGTGGAGGCCACTGCCCACTCCCGCAGTTCTCGAATGCTCTTCCAGCTCATTCGATCCACTGGCCACAGAAAACTTGATGCCAGTGCGGCTATATGCGAAGCGGATGGTTCGCCGATTGCCAACTTAGAGAGATGCTTGGACCGATGGGCGGAACATTTTCATTCCCAGTTTAATTGGCCCTCACCGTCCACTTATATCCCCTGCGAACCCAGCTGCCAGCCCTGGGTAGTCACACTTGATCCACTCAGCGAAGCGGAACTTTGCCTTGCGATGCGACATTTGAGTCGATTCAATGCTGCCGCTTCAGACGGGCTTCCTTCCGAGCTGTTCAAATATGGAGGCTTAGTTATCATTAGTCAGCTAACCTCATTGTTCTCCAAAATGTGGCATGAAGAAAGGGTGCCCTCTTCCTGGGGCGAATCCGTCGTTGTCCCGTTTTTTTTAAGAAAAGTGCTCGCAATTTATGCTCTAATCACAGGGAAATCTATCATTTCGGGTGCCTCCAGGCTATTGGCATTCATCCTACCTCGTAGTGTATCGTAGTACCGGGAAGAACAAGTTGGTTTCCGTCCTGGCCGTTCGTGTGTGGATCAAATATTCACCTTCCGTCAAATCCTCGAACACCGATACTTCCACCAGAGGTCTACTATCTTTGCATCCCTAGACGTCTAAGCTGCATTCGACTCGGTTGATCGACCTGCGCTATAGCGTTGCTTGCTAAAGAATGGGGTCCAGGAACAGTTTACTCCAACTCTATGTCTCTGGCTGAGTGAGGGTCTATCGCAAACTTGCGTCGTTCTTCACTGTCAATAGCGGTGAATGACAGGTCTGCCCTACGTCCCCGTTTCTGTTCAATTTTGAGATTAAAGCCTTCCAGTCGAGAGCTCTGGTGGGCTATCGACTTTTTTTGGACTGCAACTACTACCGGGTAAGCGAGCAACTGACTTAGATTATGTCGATGATACCGACTACTTGGTGACGACTCACAGATTACGCAAACCACTCTAAACCTTTTAGCGATTGAAGCATCTCACTACAGAATGTGTTTTGCCCCGTCGAAATGCAAAGTGCTCCAGGATTGGCACTCTCCCGTTCCTGTGCTCACTCTTGAAGGTACGTAGCTTGAACAGGCGAATAGCTTTCTCTTCTTAGGAAGCTGCGTTTCTACTGGTGACACCAACAAGGAGATTTCTCTCCGCATCGCCAATGCCTGGTCCTCCTTTGTCAACCTATATACCTGTGACATTGTCGTGGTGTCTTCCTCTTGCTAAAGGGTCGCGTTTATCATACCGGGCGGTGTTAGTACATGGCAACGAGTCATGACTAGTTCGCGTAAATGACATGCGCCGGCTCTTGACCTTTGCTAATTGTTGCGGTAGAAAAATATTGCTTGCGTATGGTGACAACAACTTATCTGCAACAGTGAACTCAGACGTCGTGTCTTAGGGAATGCGATTATTCCCATTAGCAAGCTGGTTTCACTGCGTTAGTTAAGATGGCTCGATCACGTCCTGCGTACGTCAGCTGTGCGTTTGCCTAACTGCGCCCTGTTCGCTCGTGCAGGACCCGAATGGAAGAGACCACGCAGTGGTCAACCATCCACCTGGCAACAACATATGAAATCGTTCACTTCACGTCTTGCCGCCGTTTGATCCACATGTCTTCGTGGTTGGGGTGCAAAAGACGAATAGTGTCGATGTTTGGAAATAATTCAGAAAATGGCGCGTAACGATACCATTTGAAGATCTGTATACATACTTGTTTAGAGTTAGATACTTAACGATTGTCAAATAAAAACTACGTGTGGACGAATAATAAAAATGTCCCGTTTTTCTTGCGGCACAATAACTGAAGTGTGTTTCTCACGTTCAACTAATTTGCCACAATGGTGACGATGCGGCGACTACCTGTCATATATATATATATATATATATATATATATATATATATATATATATTCACAAGTCTGTATGCAGACAGTGTGCCATCAGAACCATGGCAAAAGCAAAGACACTAATCATACCAAAGAAAACATGAAAGAAATGCAGTTCTGGTTTAGGGGTTTTACACACACACTCTTAATTTTTAATGACACCATGTCTGTTTGTAGACATGTAGTGAAATATAATAATCCGATGTGAGAAGGTTACAAAAGCTTAGCCCTTACTATTTTGCTTGCTCGTCTACTTGATTACTTTGCACTTACGATCTGAAAAAGCTGTATACCACTTGCTGAACATCCACAATTTTTACTAACTGGACACAAATTACTTTCATCCTTTCTATTGTTCTTTTCACATTTTGCTAACCGACATTCTTTGCTTACTCCCGCCGCTTCTGTTTTTCGGTCTTCTCTTCTAACAGGTTTCGACAGTCGATTGAAAATATTCTGAGTCGTTGGGAGTTGAAGGCAGATGGGGATCCTACCGTGAGTTGATTTTGCACTCAAACATTTTCTCGCATTTATCATCCGCAGTCGAAAACGGACCTCTTGGGTGTGAATTTTGGGTTATTACCCACGCTGAGACGTTTGGTTGCTGACGTTTCGCCGCAGCCAATGCAATCCGTCACATTGTTTGTAACGAAGTACCTGCAACAAAACCGCTCTGCTTGTACCTCACATTTCGTCCTCAGCCACACCCGATTTACGACTGTTCTCAGTTATCGCCAAAGTATTTGCACTCTCTTTTATCCTTGCTGTCCCGCTAAACATGCTGGCCGCTACGTGGATGAATATAGGCGCTCCCAGAGCACATTTCTTTTAGATAACTTGCCATTTGGCTCATGTCGGTTTCTGCACTCTAAGTTATTTTACTTTGGAGCACGCGGTCATCTTTACATGCAGCCGCTCTAGCACTGAATTATGTTGCTGATGTAGTACTTATCACGGCGACCTCTTAGTTATGCTACTATTCCCATTGGTGCTTTGCAGTCGCCAGTTTTATCCAGCCGTTAACCTTACTAGTCAAGAATAAAGACGACAACTCTTATTCGCTTGGAAGTATTTTTCATCACTGTTTCTAATTCGTTTAGCTTCGGTAAATTGCGATGGTTGGACCATTACGTACATTCTTGCTATTTCACTCTGGCCTTTTTGATTGACGAAAAAACTTCCACCCACTGTTCCATCTGTTTTATTTTTATTTGACTTTCATTACGTACTTCAATTGCACAGGTACGATCACGCCTCTTGTCTTCCCAAACATACGTTCAAGCAGGTTACCTTTGCGGTCGTCTTCATTTTGACGACCGTGAGTTCCATTTGGTCTACTACAGTGGTCTTCAGTGCTCTTCTCCGGAGGATACTGCCAGAAGTGAGTCGACTGCGCGCAATGTCACCATCTCTTAGCCGACTCTGGAACTCCCATCTTTTGCGCAGAGCAATACTTCTTCACTGGCCACGTCGTTCCTCCCATTGCCTGGTAGGTGGAACGGCTTAACTTCTAGAATTTCCTTCAACTATCTGTCGGTTTGTTAGTTTTACTTTAGTGTAACAATCGACGGTTAAGTGTTAGTGCTGCCTTGGAGTCGCTCTCTTCCCACACATTCGTTCTGGTATTCTGTTTTTATACGATGATCCAGCCTGGCGTTTTCACTTTGCACTCCATTCATCTTGTTCAATATTTACTATTATCATACTGTAAGTAATGAACCGCCAATGTTCATCTCCCATCGCAACGAAACTAGACCACAACATGTTGGATGGTATACGTGCCTCAACGATACATTGAGCCATGCTAGGTGACGCTTTTCACACCTTCAGAGTCACTCCTACCAGGTTGGTCAATGGTGAGAGTCCAGACGAAGGCAGCCTACTGGCTGTCCAAGTTGCGATATGTACTGAGGGTGGCTCCTTACTTCATAAAACCGGCTCTCTGTATTCCAGTGCCGGACCCGCTGCCTTGCGGGGTCAGGTTTTTGAACCAAAGGCTTTGCTTGAGAACCCTAATCGTTCTCCTGTCTAGGCCTGGGCAACCTGACAGTATCCGATCTGCACAATACCATGAGTTCTTCTTCAAACAATTTTTTGTTTTTCTGGCCGTCGCGGAGCATGATCAGCTGCGCCCCGCCTATTGCATCGAGCAGAGTGGATGGGGAGCGAAGATACCACTGCCCTGGCCTACTTATTCCTCTTCTCCGGTTGACTTTTCATGCTCTGCTGCCAGGCGAGTTTCCTTCGTTATTTCTTTGTGCGTAGAAGTTTCTTGGCGCTGATTCTTTGCAATTTCAGTCTATTTTGTCATTCTGAATTTGTTTAATGTGTGTAAGCGTCTGATGCACATTTTATTGCGGATTTGAAATTTTGGTCTGGAGACGGGCAGCATTTTACCTGGTGTTAGTGAAACTATACGTGACGAGTGTGGATAGCTTATCCACAACTTATCAAAACGCTTGGAGCGTTGCTCTGAGCACTTTGAAAGACAATTTAATCAGTCGGAATTGTCATTTCTCGCCGGCCAATTACCGCCCTGCTCCCTGGACTATCCCTTCCGATCGGCCTTCTCCCTCAAAATTCGAGTGTGAGATCGGACTAATGATGTTGGATAAACACTCGGCACCAGCTGATCTTCATCCAGCTTTCTTCAGATTCGGGGTTTTTACTCTTGTTGCTGATTTACACAGATTACTAGTGAAACTGTAGGAGCAGGAAACTGTCCTAACTTCTAGAGAGACTCACGTACGGAATACGTACGGAATAGACGAATCAGTCTGATCTCGGAGCATTATACACGCGTAGCTCCGGCAGAGTGAGCGGTTAAGGCAAGCTGTCGTCGCCCTTCAATATCTCAAGCGGTGTGAGACAAGGATGCCCGCTCTCACCTTTCCTCTTAAACTTCGCCATCGGCAAAGTCATGAACATCGCGTTCACAAGACACGACTTAGAAGGTGTGGAACAGCTCCCAGGTGAACGACTTTTTGACTTGGAATATGCCGATGACATTACCCAAATATGTGACAGCTCAGAAACGTGCCAAGCAGCACTGGACAGATTAGCACTGGCTGTGATCCGCTTCGGGCTTTGCTTTGCACTCTCGAAGTGCAAAGCGCTCCTCCATGATTGGTAGGCACCGCCCCCTTCGCTGACCCTTGATGAGGATCAGCTAGAAGTTATTCAAAAATTCAACTACCTAGGTAGTTGTATGAGCATCGGTGGAATTGAAGAAGTCACAAACCGTATAGTAAAAGCACAAATCGCTTTTGCTAACCTTCGCCCCAATGGCGCCGGCGCGACATCACTCTCGCTCTGAAGGGTAGAGTGTACAATGCAGCTGAAGGTTTCACCCTACTGTACGTTTGCAAAACTTGACCCCTTAGATCAGCCGACATAAAGAGATTAGTTACGTTCGACCACCGATGCGTTCGCAGTTTGGCTCACATTTGGTGGGAACACCGCGAGAGCAACGAGCGTGTTCGACGTCTTGTTTACGGCACAGGAAAAGGAAATGAACCACTCAGCACCGTCATTTCACGCACCATTTTACAATGGCTGGGCCAGGTGTTGCGTATGCCAGCGCAGTCTCTCGCAAAGTGCGTTGTTTGCTTACCGGTGGTATAGATGGAAGAAGAGGGAGGCCAAGCGCTCACTTGATTGAGAGAAATAAAGGCCCTCATTTCGAGGTTGGCCTCGGTTGGAGCTTATCGACCCTCTGGTTGGAGTCCGAAAAATGATGAACACGTTTGTCTGGATACACTTACTGATATGGCTAGGAGCCAACCTCAGTGACATTCTTGCTGTGAGTTTCTTTGTCCCTCTTTCTGCCACTTAGCCTCCCAATCAAACCACGATCTCATTTCTTTGCATAATATAATTTAGCTTAATGAAATTTTTCATTGCCTAGTAGCCCGCTGGTAGCTTTCCGGAATGACGACAACAACAACCACAGAAGCATTTTTGTTCAGTTTGCCACGCACAGTTTTTGAGTTTTTGCAATTTTTTGATAAGTGATTTCTTTGCAGTTTTCCTTTTTTCATCTGTTAACTCTCGTTGATCGTGGTGCGCTCGATTCGTACCCCTTTTTATCATAAAATTGGGCCAGTAAATCCCCATTGGTTCGACAGAGTATGGCCAGTTGGTTTGACGGCTACGGGTAATGCGGAATAAATTCCTCTAGTCTGAATCTGTGACCGATTATGGGTTGTACAAAAACCAGCGGAATCTATGCAGCTGCACAAAAGCACAGAAGCCTCGGTACTTCGAAGAGGAGTTTGTGATAGCCACGAACACTGCCTCCAAGAGAATTTTCGCGTAAGTGAAGCGGCACCTGAGACCGGCAGATGAAGTAGCTGTGTTAGAGGACTCTGACAGATAGCCTCTAACTTCCGGCGCTGAAAGTGTATCTGCATTTGCGACGCGCTTCTGTAGTTGCAATCACGCGTAAATCTATACAAAGCTTAAAGTGTGGAGATTTTACTGAACTCGAGAGCCTGGATTGCGATGTGGAAGATGTCCGCAATTGCCAGTCTTGAAGGCAGAAAGCATGCCGGTCCCGATAAGCTTTACCTACTGATTCTTAAGCCCCTGTAAGCCATCCTCTCGCTCTCTGTGACTGGTCTATTTGATCGTTGTCCAAAGGTACATTGTCAACCGACGAAATGGTAGTTAAGCCGATTCCTAAGCAGTGACCTAATTGAGGAGGACAATTACCGGCTGACCTCTTACCTCCGTTTTAGCCAAAGCACTCGAGATGGTGAAAAGAGGTGTACTACAGCTGCTGAACTCGAGAGACCTGACGCAGGCGCAGCTTTGTTTCATGCCAAATCTATCCACCGCTATTCAGCCGCAAAGGCTGTTATGTAGAGCGCGTGTACTTGAGTGCGTGTGTGTTTGTGTATCAACCAATCAGTGTCCGCTATTGATTTGTTCCGAACTGGAAATCGTTTGTGCGTTCATGTGACTCTCTTCGCAAACTGTTTTTACGTGCTGATTTGTGCTGAGCGGAGTGTACCGCTTTACACCTGCTGCTAAAGTTTTCCTACTAACATACCGCTGTTCTGATTTCGCTTGGATATTACAGGCCGCTGCTGTATCACCAACCTGCTGTTGACGCGGCATGAATACTTGCAAGTGCTAAACCGGGGGAAGTTTGTCGATGTGATCTACATTGACAAAGTGAATCATAACGTTCTCCTACGCAAGCTGAGGATGTGCGGTATTGGTGGCTCAATGAACCAGTGGATCAGCAACTTCCATACTGGTACCATCTAACGGACTGGTACCCTTCTAATTGTGGTGTACCTCAGGACACAGTACTTGACCCTCTTTTGTTCCTGCTCCACATCGACGGTATCTTGTCTTCTTCGGTACACTTTCACTTTGTTTACAGACCACTTGAAGATGTACAAAGTAATTGATGTCCTCGCTGACCTCAACGTACTTCGGGATGACCTCGATCACCTGTCCAGGTGGTCTGCAGAAATTGATCTGCCGGTCAGCCCATTCAAATGATTATTTATGAGCCTGCGGAAGGGTGTTACTGGGCGTACTTATACTCTGAACGTTCAATCACTACATCATACACCTTACGTGAAGGTCTTGACGTACTCTCACGCTACGATTTGAAGTCCGCAGACAACGCGAACGAGCTAAATAGAAACGGACTGCACATATCTTGGGCGCTGAAATTTAGCTTCCACCTTTGGTCTGGAGAGATAGCCACTTGTCTCTTCTATTCCATCATACGACCAATGCTGGAGTACGGGTCTCCCGCCTATTGTCCGATCATCCATGGCGAGGTGCAAAAACTGGAACGTGTTCAGCATATGGCTACCAAATCCATCCCCACTCTACGAAGTATGTCGTATCAAGACCGATGCAGACGACTAGGTCTGTACGCTCTCCCGTATCACAGGTTTACAGTTGACCTCATTAGGACGCACCGGGTATTGCATCTCAGTCACTTCCCCACCTTGAGACAGCCACTACACGTGAGCGCCCCAAGAAGCACTCCCGGACACCGGTACAAGCTTGTGGTACATTACCCAAAACAGATAGCTCACTCTCTAAGCTTCGAGCGTCGATTGGTGATATACTGGCACGGTTTGCCGAAGAAAATAGTCGACGCGAACTCAGTGACGGAGTCCAAGAAATTCTTAAGCACCCAATTGGCGGATTTCAGATTCCGGGAGCACATCACACCCAAATAGTATATAACGCAGCTGTATTATGCTGCAAGCGCGCAGGAATCTCTGACCTGATTCCGCTCATGTGCTCGATATAACTACAATGTGGCAACACAGACGTATGTCTACTAGCTCTCTATTTTCAGTATTCCTACTTGTTTAATCTTTATTATTCCGTTCCATCTTCACTTTTATCCTCCCTGTCTTCTGCATTTTAGTGCTTTGCCCTCTCCTGTCCTCCACTAACGGCCGCTTGTCTTCTAGTCTCTATTCGCACCCGATCGCATGGCGTCGTGCGGGG